TTGAAATGATGGGCATTTATCGTTATTGTGTAAAAAATCGATATTGTTTTGCAAGAAAAATGGGACAGAACATATAATGATAAAAGAAGTGTTCTATAATAGAAAAATTTACTTCTGGTTTGCTATAGCTAGTTTATGAATAACTTGCATTTTATTTACAGAAACAGGTGTGTTGATATCATCAATTATAACTATGGTGGTTTTGTTATTCACTGTTACTCTTTTAAGGATGCTGATCTGAGAAAAGGTGGGTTGGAGTTTTCTTTTTCCTTTCTTCAAGGTGTTTATCGCAGTTTTTTTCTATGCACGCTACCATTTCTGCATATCTTTTGATGATACTGTTCTAACTTTTCATTAATCTTATCGTTGACTGTAGATATCTTCGTCATCCTTGATTCCACTTGCTTCATCAACATATCATCACCAACTTGATCTTCACTCAGTGTGATTACATTAACATCTTCTTCAACAAGATCCATTATAGGAGTATTGTAAATGCTGTGCATTTTCCAGCCAAAAAGAACTTTATATGGAGTATGATTATGAGCTTTGTAAACGGTACCATTATACGTTAAGACGAAATTATCAAAAAAATCTATCCAATTAATATGCTGTAGATGGTTTTCACTGTTCCAAAGCATCTTCATAAATTCATGAACAGTTTGATTTAGTCTTTCGATTGCATCTTGGGATTGCGGATGTCTCGGATGGTCATTCTTTATATTCACTTTGAGGATTGAATAGATATGCGACAGTACTTAATTAGTGAACTCCTTTCCATTATCACTTTGTAGAAGCGCTAGTGGTTCAGATATCTTGAAGACATGTTTAATGAGAGCTTCAGCTACAGTATCAGCTTTCTTGTTCTGGAGAGGAACTGCAAAGAGAAATTTCAAAAAGATGCAAATACAGGTGAGTAACCAGACAAAATCTTTGTTTTGGTCTTTGTAGTCATACAGATCAATAAGATCAATTTGCACATGACTTCATGGACTTGTGGCAACAACTGGCATGAGATCAGTCTTCTCTTTGATTGATTTATTTACAGCACACGTGAAGCACTTGCTAACATACTCTTGAACTTCATCTTGGGTAATTCTGACATGTTTTTCAGAAAGAGCATCATACGTTTTA